CTCCCTCTGCCTCCTGTGATTATTTCCTTCCCCCTTCTAAGTGGGATTGAAAGAGCCTCACTTGGGTCTTTTTGCTTGTTAAACTTCTTACAGTCTATGGGTTGTATCCTAGGTATTCTGTACTTTTGGTTAATATCTGCTTATCAATAAGTACATACCACGTATGTGCTGTTGGGTCTGGGTTACCTCACTCAGGATGATATTTTCTAGTTCCATCCATTTGCCTGTAAAATTCATGATGTCTTCATTCTTAATAGCTGAATAGTATTCCATTCTGTAAATGATCCACATTTTCTGTATCCATTCTTCAGTTGAGGGACATCTGGGTTATTTCCAGCTTCTGGCTATTACAAATAAGGCTGCTATGAGCATGGTGGAGCACATGTCCTTGTGGTATGGTGGGGCATCTTTTGGGTATATGCCTAGGAGTGGTATTGCTGGGTCTTCAGGTAGAAATATTTCTAATATCTGGAGGACCACCAGATTGATTTCCAGAATGGTTGTACCAGCTTGCAATCTCACCAGCAATGGAGGCGTGTTCCTCTTTCTCCACATCCTCGGCAGCATCTGCTGTCACCTGAATTTTTGATCTTAGCCATTTTGATTGGTGTGATGTGCAACCTCAAGGTTGTTTTGATTTGCATTTCCCTGATGACTAAGGACTTTGAACATTTCTTTAAATGCTTCTCCCTCATTCGAGATTCTTCTGTTGTGAATGCTCTGTTTAACTCCGTACCCCACTTTTAATTGAGTTGTTTCATCTTTTGGAAGTTAACCTCTTGAGTTCTTTATATATTTTGCATATTAGCCCTCTATTGGATGTTCAGTTAGTGAAGATTTTCCCCTCAATCTATAGTCTGCTGACTTGTCCTATTAACTATTCCCTTTGACTTACAGAAGGTTTTCAGTTTCATGAAGTCCCATTCATCAATTGTTGATTTTAGAGCCTGAACCACTGGGTTTTGTTCAGGATATTTCTCCCTGGGCCAATGAATTCCAGGCTCTTTCCCACTTCTATTCAAATCAGTGTATCTGGTTGAGGTCCTTGATCCACTAGGACTTGAGCTTTGTGCAAGGTGATAAATAGAGGTCTATTTTCATTTTTCTACATACAGACCACCTGTTAGACCAGCACCATTTATTGAAGATGCTTTTTCCTCCCCACTGTATGTTTTTGGCTTCTTTGTCAAAGATCAGTTTTCTATAGCTCTGTCGGTTTATTTCTGGGTCTTCAATTCTATTCCATTCGTGGACCTGTCTGGCTCTGTATCAATACCATGCAATTTTTTTTTTATCACTATTGCTCTGTAATGCAGCTTGAGGTCAGGGATGATGATTCCCCCAGAAGTTCTTGTATTTTTGTGAATTGTTTTTGCTATCCTGGGTTTTTTGATTTTCCCATATGAAGTTGAGAATTGCTCTTTCCGTGTCTGTGAAGAATTGTGTTGGAATTTTGATGGGGATTGCATTGAATTTGTAGGTTGCTTTTGATAGGATGGTCATTTTCACTGTTAATCCTACCAATCCATGAGCATATGAGATCTTTTCATCTTCTGAGGTCTTCTTTGATTTCTTCAGAGACTTGAAGTTCTTGTCATACAGATCTTTCACTGGTTTGGTCAGTTACACCAACATATTTTGTATTATTTGTGACTACTGTAAAGGGTGTTGTTTCCCTAACTTCTTTCTGAGCCAGTTTATCATTTGTATAAAGGAAGGTTACTGATTTGTTTGAGTTAGTTTTATATCCCACCACTTTGCTGAAGTTGTTTATTAGCTGTAGAAGTTCTCTGGTAGAATTTTGGGGGTCACTTATGTATATTGTCATATCACCCACAAATAGTGATATCTTAATTTCTTCTTTTCCAATTTGCATCCCTCTGATCACCTTTTGTTGTCTTATTGCTCTAGCTAGAACTTTGAGTAGTATATCGAATAGATAAGAAGTAGGCATCCTTGTCTTGTTTCTGATTTTAGTGGGATTTCTTCAAGTTTCTCTCCATTTAATTTGATATTGGCTGTTGATTTGCAGTATATTGTTTTTATTATGTTTAGGTAAGGGTATTGAATTCCTGTTCTTTCCAATACTTTTAACATGAAGGGTTATTGGATTTTGTCAAAAATTTTTTCAGCATCTAATGAGATGATCATGTGATTTTTCCTTTGAGTTTGTTCATATAGTGTATTATGTTAATGGATTTTTGTATATTAAACCATCCCTGCATCCCTGTGATGAAGCCTACTTGATTGTGGTGAATGATTGTTTTGATGTGTTCTTGGATTCAGTTTGTGAAAATTTTATTGAGTATTTTTGTATCTATATTCATAACAAGAGCAGGTAAACTATATAAACAGTCCCATAACCCCTAAGAAAATCAAAGCAATCATTAAAAAATCCTTCTAACCAAAAAAAGCCCAGGGCTAGCTGATTTTAGTGAAGAATTCTACCAGACCTTCAAAGAACAGCTGTTCATAAGTTCACTAAAATCAGCTGGCCCTGGGCTTTTTTTTTTTTTTTTTTTTTGCTCAGCTTGCTTTCTTATAGAACCCAAGACTACCAGCCCAGGGATGGCACCACCCACAATTGGCCCTCACACCCTTGATCACTAATTGAGAAAAATGCCTTACAGCTGTATCTCCTGGAGGCATTTCCTCAAGGGAGGCTCCTTTCTCTGTCATAACTTCAGCTTGTGTCAAGTTAACACACATAACCAGCCAGTACAGTTTATTTATCTTGTTGATTTTCTCAAAGAGTCAGCTTTTGGTTTTCTAATTGGTTGATTTCTACCCTGAGTTTGACTATGTCCTGCTGTCTTCTCGTCTTGGGTGTGTTTGCTTCTTTTTGTTGGAGAGCTTTCAGGTGTGCTGTTAAGTTGCTAGTGTAGAATCTCTCCAATTTCTTTACAAGGGCACTATGTGCTATGGATTTTCCTGTTAGCACTGCTTTCATTGTGACTCAGAAGTTTGGGTATGCTGTGTCTTTCTTGTTATTGAATTCTAGAAAGTCTTTAATTTTTTCTTTATTTCTTCCCTTTCCAAGTTATCATTGAGTAGAGATTTGTTTTGTTTCCATGAGTATGTGGGCTTTCTGTTGTGTTTGTTGTTATTGAAGTGCAGCTTTAGTTCATGGTGATCCATTAGAATGCATGGAGTTATTTCAATCTTCTTGTATCTGTTAAGGCTTGATTTATGACTGGTTATATGGTCAGTTATGGAGAAAGTACCATGAAGTGCTGAGAAGAAGGTATATTCTTTTGTTTGGGGGTAAAATGTTCTGTATATATCTGTTAAATCTGTTTGGTTTGTAACCTCTATTAGTTTCACTGTGCCTCTGTTTAGTTTCTGTTTCAATGACCTGTCCATTGGTGAAATTGGGGTGTTGGAAATCTCCCATTATAATTGTGCGAGGTTCAATTTGTGTTTTGAGCTTTAGTAAAGTTTCTTTTATGAATGTGTGTGTCATTGCATTTGGGAGACATAAATGTTCAGGATTCAGACTTCCTCTTGGTGGATATTTTTTTATTAGCATAAAGTGTCTGTCCCCATCTCTTTTGATAACTTTTGGTAAAGTTGACTTTATTGGATATTAGAATGACTACTCCAGCTTCTTTCTTGGAACCATTTGCTTGGAAAACTTTTTTCCAGCCTTTTCTTCTAAGGTAGTGTCTGTCTTTGTCACTGAGGTGTGTTCCTTGTATGCAGCAAAATGATGGACCCTGCTTGCATATCCAGGCTGTTAGTCTATGGCTTTTTATTGAGGAATTGAGTATATTGATGTTGAGAGACATTAAAGACTGGTGAATGTTGGTTTCTGTTATTTTTGTTGTTGGAGGTGGTATTATGTGTGGGTGATTCTCTTCTCTTGGGTTCGTTGTGAGATGATTAATTTCTTGTGTGTTCTTTTCTGTAGATACCCTTCTTGTGTTGGAGTATTCCTTCTAGAATCCTCTGTAGGGCTAGATTGGTAGTCAGATATTGTTTTAATTTGTTTTTTTCCTCTAATATCTTGGTTTCTATATCAAGAGTTTTGCTGGGTATAGTAGCCTGGGCTGGCATTTGTGTTCTTTTAGGGACTGTATGACATCTGTCCAGGATCTTGTGGCTTTTAGAGTCTTAGTTGAAAGTATAATTCTGATAGGTCTGCCTTTGTATGTTACTTGACATTTTTCCCTTACCACTTTTAATATTCTTTCTTTGTTCCGTGCATTTTGTGTTTTGATTATTGTGTGATGGGAGGGTTTTTTTCTGGACCAATCTATTTGGTGTTCTGTAGGCTTCTTGGACATTTATGGACATCTCTTTCTTTAGGTTGGGGGAAGTCTATGATTATGTTAAAGATGTTTTCTGGTCTTTGAGCTGAGAATCTTCACATTCTTCTATTCCTATTATTCTTAGGTTTGGTCTTTTTATTGTGTCCTGGATTTCCTGGATGTTTTAGGTTAGAAGTTTTTTACACTTCATATTTTCTTTGACTGTTGTGTCAATATCCTGTATGGTATCTCATCTGTCTGACATTCTGTCTTCTATTTCTTGAACTTTGATGGTGGTACTTGCATTTGTAGCTCCTGATCTCTTTCCTAGGTTTTCCATCTACAGGGTTGCTCCATTTGTGATTTCTTTATTGTTTCTACTTCCATTTTTAGGTCTTGGACTGCTTTGTTCAATTCCTTCACCTGTTTGATTGTGATTTCCTGTATTTCTTTAAGGGATTTATTTGTTTCCTCTTTAAGGGCCTCTACCTGTTGGCCTTTGTTTTCCTGTATTTCTTTAAGTGAATTAATTATATCCTCCTTAAAATTTTCTATTATCTTCATGTGATTGTAGGTCAGCATCATGCTTTTCAGATCTGTTGGGGTGTCCACAGCTTGTTGTGGTAGGAGAAATGGGTTCTGATGGTGCCAAAATACATTGGCTTCTGTTGCTTGCCTCTCACCGTCTGAGTTATCTCTTGTATTAACTGGCCTGGGTGTCTCTATTGGGAGCCTGCCTCCTGTGTCCCTAAAAATATGGAACATTTCAGGAATTTGTGTGTCATCCTTGCACAGGGCCATAGGAATCTTTTCTGTATGGTTCCAAGTTTAGTATATGTGCTTCCAAAGCGATCACTCCATAAAGAGCTTTTAAGGAAGCAAATTTTACTGAATGAGCATGGCTCTGTGAAGTAAAAAGCCATTCTGTTTTGGCTCTGGTTTCCTCAACAGCTTGGATTCTTTTTGAATTATGAATGGATTAATATAATTGCTGATGCTTAATCTCTTATGATTTGAAAGCCTCATGGGGAATAAAAAGCTCCATTATTCCTCTCCCCATGAGCAGAGGGACCCACAGAACACTTTAGCGGTTCGCTTCTAGATAGACTTAGTATCTTCTAGCTGTTAAGAAAGAAAAATCACAGGATGTCATGGGATGAAACTGCAAATCAAACCTTGCTTGGGATAGGAGGTGGTTCTTGCGTTTACTAGGTTGCAGAAATAATCAAGGATAGTGTTCTTTTTACACTCCTTCGCTCCACTCTTTTGTCTGCTCTCTTTGCCTGTTTCCTGAGCTTCGAAGTTCATTTAGTTCCTGGCTTCACAAAGAAGAATTTGTTGAGCTTGGCCCTTTTTGTGTAATTGTATACACAACAGACAACTAGTTTTAGGATGTGCAGAACTTATCTCAGAGATGGCTCTTGTACCTGCTGGGTTAAAAGATTTGATACTTTCTTAAGGGTTGTGGCTGGCACGTCTGTAACAAAGGCAAAATAAGAGACAAGCTTGTGAGGTTTACATAGTATGAGTTTTAGACTCAGTAAAGACTGCTCTGTGTGTGTGTGTGTGTGTGTAAATTCAATGGAGAATGGACTGATGTAGGAAAAGCATGTGACCTAGGGGTAACAGGCCCACTATGGAGACTCATCAAGACCTGCCTATTGGAATTCTTGGCCACTATGCGGTATCCCTTTCCACTGGGCATATGGCAGGCCCCATTTGGAGTAGAGGCCTTACCTGGTTAGCCAGAGCTTTTCTTTATGTCTAGCTTTTACAGAGAGCATGGAAGCAGCTACCATGCTATATTGAACTCTGTGCCTTGCCCTGATGCAAGCGGATTCTGGTTTGCACCACCCATCATGGGACAGAGGACTTCTTGTTTTTTTATGATTTGCTTCAGGGAAGAAATGGGAAGGTGGGAGGTCAGAGACGTCTTGGTTCTGAGGCTGCTCGGAGGGCTTCTAACATCCTTTAGTTGGAAGCTCTTAGCGTGGCAAAGCACTTCGAGGAGCTTTGCTGAGCACTGAATCTGTGAGGGTTACAAACTCTCACTGTCTTGCTCTGCAGTTTTAGTTCCTTGCCTGACATGGCTGCAAGAAGAAAGCAAAAGACTTTCCACAGCACCGAGGGAGGCCATCCTCTAAACAAGTGCTTCCCCAGCCTGTCTGAGCTTTCTCCACCCTAGCCGTGGAGAGGGCTAGAATAAGGAAGTGGTGTGAGTCATTTGATGTTGTCACACCTCAGGAAAGTCCCTGTTCCATCCTTCCTCTTGTGCTGGGGTGGCACTTTCTCAGTCTGGGTCACAGGAGCTAAGTTTTATTTTATTTTATTTTTTTTTTGTCTACACCCCCATAGCTTTTCTGTAGGTATCCATTTGTTTAAAAATAGAAACAATAGAGTTAAGGACAGACCCCCAAAACCCCTTGGCTGAGTAAGACAAAGCTGGTTCTTCTCACAAGCTGGTTGCTCGGAAATGGACATGCTATTTCTGGTTTTCTGTGTATGCATCATTTACAGTTGTCTTCTAGTTCATTCTCTGTTGCTGTGATAAACATTATTATGACTGCCACTCCCCTCCCCCCCCCCAAAAAAAACCTCACTTAAGCAAGGAAAGAGTTCAATTGGCTTACATTTCCAGGTCATAGTTCATGGTTGAAGGAAGTCATGAAAGAAGCTCAAGCAGGAAGTAAGGCAGAAACCATGGAGAAATGCTGCTAACTGTCGTCTCCTCAGCCAGCTTACTCCCATAGCCCAGGTCCACCTCCTGCTATCACCTAAATGGGCTAAGCCCACCTATATGAATGAACAATCACAAAAATGCCCCGCCCCCATTCCACAGGCCAATCTGATTGGGGCAAGTTTTCAAATGAGATTCCCTCCTCTCAGGTGACAGTGGGCCATGTCGAGTTGACAATAAAACCTGACCAGCACACCAGCCTACTTAATCATGTGCTTGTGTCCGAGTGCCCAGGGGACGCACGGGGTGTTGTCTGTGTGAGAAAGATACACTAAGTTTTCCTGTTCAGTTTTTAGGGACATGTTTATTACCACCCTCTGAGGGTCTAAGGATGATGCGAGGTGTCCTTTTAGCCAACAGAACGGTCTCCTGGAAGAGAGGATCCTTAGCACAGTGATTGCTCTGGTGAAGCGGGGTGCTTTCAGCTCCCCGACGTAATCATCTCTCTCTTAGGGATAACAAAGTGTGCAAAACGAGGAAGGGTTGATTTCTGGGGTGAACCAGGTGAAGGCGTTCTAGTTGATAGTTTGTTCTCCTATCATTTTGACTATATTACCACACCTCCTTCAAACACCAGTGGTTTCTGAGAAGAAATCATGCGTTCATCTTAATTTTAAATATTTATTTATTTACTTAAATTATTTTGTATATATGTCTGTATGTGGCTAGGTGAGTGCAGTATCTCTAGGGGCCAGAAGAGGGCAGAAGACCTCCTGGAACTGGAGTTATGTGCCTTGTAAACTGCTTGACATGGGTGCTGGGAATGAAACTCTGGTCATCCGGAAAAGCAGTCTGTGTCCTTAACTGCCAAGCTGTCTCTTTAGCCAGAAGCTGTAGTTGTATTGAGAAGTTTTACATGTCATGAGTCACCACCTTTACACGACTTGAAGACTGCCTTCTAGTACTCTGATTGCAATGCATCTCACTTAAAAACCTCTTGGTTTTACTTATTCTACTCTAATTTATTGAGATTCATAAATGTGTAGGTTGGTCTATTTCACCATATTTGGAAAAATTTGGACCACTATCTTCTTCTTCAAGATGTTTCATCCTTTTTGAGACAAGGTCTTTTATATAGTGGACTATGGCCTCAAACTTAGAATGTCCACTCTACTCCACACCACCCCCCAATTCCTGAGTTTTGAAACTATAGGTATGTGCAACCATACTTGGCTTGGCTTATTTCCTGTCATCATCATCATTAAAATTCACCTTCTCTTTTCTGGAACTATCATAATGTATAGGTCTCTGAGTCCTTCTTGGCTTTCCTATTTTGTTCTTTCTGATACACAATAATCTCAATTGAATTATTTTCAGATTCATTGATTCCCCTTCCAGTAGTTCATATTTTTATTAATCTAATCATCTGACTTAAATTTTTATTTGATTTATTGTATTTATTTGTATTTGATATTTTTATTTGATTTATTGTATTTTATGAGTATTTTGCCTGGTGTATGTATTTGCTCTCTCTGTGTGTGTGCATGTATGTGTATCCTGCAGAAGTCAGAAGAGGGGCTGGAACACCTGGATGGTTGTGAGTCCCCATGTACATGGACCAGCTTCCTACTAGTATTAAGCAGACACACTGTCTGGGTCAGATGCCATGTTAATTACTTGCCACTGGTGCTTGATTTGTTATTTATCTGTTGGAGACAGGGTCTTGACACGTTGCCTAGCCTGTTCTCCATGAGTTCCCATGTCAGCATCTGGGGTAGTTAGAACTAGAAGCCACTGTACCTGGCTTCCCACTGAAGCCATTGATTTTTTTTTTTTTTTAATTCTGAGAATGGGGCCATTGGCACAGAAAATGTTATGAGTTATCAAAACAAAGACAAGCCCTGAAACTGGAGATTTTCAACATATATCTGCATAGGTAAATTTTTATCCACTATGGGACTTTGGGGAAGTTTCATATCTACTCTTTCTTCCCCAGTAGCTGTTGGCCATCTGTCCTCATAACTATTTTGATGTTAGTTAACCAACTTGACACAAATTAGAGTCACCTGGGAAGAAGAAGCATCATTTGCCAGATTGCCCTATGGACATGTCTGCAGGAGCATATCCTGGTTGCTAATTGATATAGGAGGATCCTGCCCACTGTGGGTAGCACCATCCCTACTTAAGTGGTTCTGGGATGCACAAGAAAGGTAGCTAAGAAAGCCAGAGGAAGGAAGCCAGTAAGCAAGCATTCCTCTGTGGACTCTGATTCAGTTCCTGTTTCAGTTCCTAGATTCTTGCCTCAAGCTCCTGTCCTAGCTTTTCTTGGTGATGAACTGTAATCTGTAAGCTGAAATAAGCACCTTTCTCCTAAAATTGTTTTTGGTCATTTTTTTTTATCACAGCAACAAAAATAAACAATGAGCCGGGGAGTTAGAGGGAGGAGAAGAGTTTGTGTCAAGTAAAAATGCCGCAAAGCATTCTTCTTACCAAGATTCAGTCTTTTTTTTTTTTTTTTTTTAAATAAAGACACAGACAGTGCAATATTGGAATACTCTAATTTTTGGTTCAGACAAAGATGATTTTGATAACTGCAGATTCCATGGTTTTTATGGAAAAGCATGTGACTAGTGTTTCTTATTCTGACATTCAAGAATTACATCTCCATTTAAGGAGAATATAGAATGTCAGAAGATCATTTTTTAAAATAAGAAATAAAGTCATAATACAAAACCTTAGGAATATTTAATGAGTTCATGTCGATGATTTTATTTAAGAAATTCTTGAGAAGCTCTTGTAAATTTCGTAGCTTATAGAATTGTTTATAGGTCAAAAGACAGATAAAGATACACATACACACAAGCAGTGATAATGATGACATATTGTGGGATTTTAATGGCCTAGGGTTATGGACGAAGAGTCGAAGGAGCTTCAACCCTGGATACCTCAAACAACAGGAGTTGGCTACCTTCTCAACCCAACCTGGCAACCTAAAGCTGGGTTCCCTATCATCAACCCTAGCAAGAATTTTTTACCCTGACAGTAATCAGGCTTCACTCCTTGTCTGACCTTATAAGGTCCCGACCCCACCCCCTACAATCCCTGAATATGTAGATGAAGCATCTACCAATACTTCTGCCCTGGCCAACAGTGTAGAGACACACAAACCTTGCCCCAGA